TGGGATCAACATTCGGGCATAGGCACTAACATCCTTAAAAAGACTCCTAAAAATGAATCTGACATAATCTTCCTTTGTACAAATATGAATACACCATAATGATTCTCATCTTGTACATCCACAAAAATAGAATTCCTCATTAGAATAAGGTATATTCTATGCATATAATTACACAAAAATTGATTCAACACTCTTATATTAATGAAAAGAACCAAAAAATAAAATATTAAAATGTCTAAAAAGGAATCCTAAACTTCTAGAAATAAAACCAAAAATCAATAAGAGGGAGAGAATCAAATTAAAAAGTTTATATGCAGCAAAGGAAAACAATCAAGAATATGAAGACAGAGCCTACAGAATGGGAGAAATCTTTGCCACCTGCTTCTCAAATAGGGCATTTATATCCAGAATTGAAGTAGCTCCCAAAAGAATTGGAGAAGCCCCCAAAAGAGACTTTCCATCACTAAACTTCTCTCCTAGTCAACAAGATTTTCACATAGACTACCAAGGGGATTTCACAGGAGCTCTACAGAGAGCTAAATGTGGTTTTGAAGCTTCCTCTTTCTTGTAAATCCAGGTTTGCAGACAAAATGTGTGAAAACCTCTGCTAGCCCAAGAATATGGTTCAAAGAGTAACTGTTATGTACCCATTCTCTGTCATATGACCATCCCAATGAGTTTAAATCTAAAAGAATTCCCAGAACCGGGACCCAGAGATATTTAGTTATTAGCCCTCTGGACCACTGTAGCTTAAATAAACCTGCTTCCTGAAAATTTCTTGGGTGTCCATCCTCATCTGCCCTACATCAGAATATATATATATATATATATATATATATATATATATATATATATATATATATACTAAAAAAAGTCACAAATAAAACAAATAATAAATGGGCAAAGAACTATGCAGACACTTCTCAAAAGACGACATGACCAACAAATTTATGAAAAAGAGTATTTAGCATCTCTACAATGAGGGAAATGCAAATTAAAACTACACTAAGATTTCAACTCACTCCAGTCAGAACAACAATTTTCAAGAATATAAATAAAAATACATGCTGCTGAGGATGTGGGAGAAAAGTTACACTTGTACATTGCTCATGGGACTGCAAATTAGTGTGATCACTCTAGAAAGAAGGATGGAGATTCATCCCAAAACTAGGAATGGAAGGCTGGGGCTGTAGCTCAGAGGCAGAGCACTTATTGAGCATGTGTAAGGCACTAGGTTCGACCCTTAGCACCACATAAAAATAAACAGCTAAAATAAAGACATTCTGTCTATCTACAACTACAAAAATTTTTTTTTTAAACTAGGAATGGAACAACCATATGACTCCACTGTCCCTATTTATCCAAACAAACAAAAATTATCATACTATGTAGACACTGCCTTGTCAACGCTTAATAGCCCAGATGCTTGTCAATAGATGACTTGATAAAGAAAATGTGACTCACAAGGTCAAAGGATAATTGCTCTCTCTCTCATATGGAAAAACTAAAACAAAACTCAGAAAAAAAATGGAGTGAGGGGTCCCATGAAAGTAAAGGAGAGATCAGTGGAGTAGATAGAGGTAGGGATTGAGGGTGAAGGAGGAGGGCCTGGAAAAGAGTGCAACAGTGGAATGAGATTGACCAAAATATTTTATGCATATGCATGTATACCACAGTGGATCTCATCTGCATGTGTATCCATAAAGCACTGATTTTAAAAAGACTATAAATAAATAGAAGGAAGACTAGTGGAGTAGAGAAAAAGGAAGAGGGGGATGTACAAGGCAGGGAAAGGAGAAGTCCTGTGGACTGAAATGAGCAAATTATATTTTTGCTGCTATAATTACTTCAGTGAACTCCAGTAGCATGTACACCAGTAAAGTACAAAGAAAAAATATGAAAATGTTCCTTAAAAATAAGAATGCTTAATTATTTGCTATTCCCATGGTTGAATCCCACCCTCTACCACATTGAAAAATGCTAATTTGAGAGCACCTGGATTTTGTACCGTCAAATATAAAAGAGTTCATTTTGAACTCTCATTTGTATAAAGTAGGAGAGAGGTGAAAGTGACCTGGGCTGTCATGTACTCATCACTCTTGGGGATGCTCTGAGAGAGCATCTCAGACTGAGGTGTTGTCTTCCTATATAGGAGCTGCATATAGGGGAATGGACTCCACTTGTGAAAGTTCACTGACATCACATGCCTAGCCTGTACATAAAATCATTTAAAATACATATCAGTAATTTAAAAATCAGCTGCAGCAAAAGATTCTTATCCCATTTACATAATGTCAAGGTGGACAGTGAATGTATTAAATAAGTGCACACTCTGGTCAGTTTTTGAAAATATGAAATGTAGCATCTTGGAAATAACAACAGAAATCAACTTAGAAACTTAAATAGAATGGGTGTCATAATGAGAAAATTTGTTGTTCATGGTTTTCCATAACATTCAATTATATGAAACATATAAGATAAGTTTCATTTTTCAAAGGCAAATAGTGTCTGAATATACAAATACTGATATTCCCTTCAAAAGAAATAGCTAACACAGAAGCATCAGAGAAAAGAGAATATATATAAAAATACATTTCACATAATTTTACAAATGAACCAACAAGATTAGGAAGAAAAAGCAACAGAAAGCAAATTTTATGCTAAATCATTTGCCATTGTTGAAACTGTTATCTAAATCTGAAATTTCTATTTGTTACAATTTTCTAAAATTATTCTTTGGTGCATAATAAACCTAATTCAAGTTATATATATGCACAACTGTATATTTACATTATATATATATATATATACATATATATAATATATATACATATACATTTACACATTTAAAATATAAAGATTATTTGGTATTTTGATTTCTTTAATGGATTTGGCATTTTAATTTCTTTTGTATATACATCTCTTTTTTGCAATCTAGGAAACCAGAACCAGAGACCCAGGTCAAGCCAAGTCTTGAGATATTCAACAGAATGACATTATAGTACTCAGGGCTACCAATAGAGCTATAAGCTCTAAACAGTAACCACATGCCCTCATTTCTTATTAGGGAACAACCAAAAGTCCAGTCCTTAAAGGAATGATAATACAGAACCTCTTGAAATGCAAAGAACAAAGTGACCCAAATTATATACAGGCTGCTTGAGTCAGCTTTTCATTGCTGTGACCAAGACACCCAACAAGAACTACCTAGAGGAGGAAAAGATCATTTGTGCTCATGGTACCAGAGATCTCAGTGGATGGAAGACTCACTCTATTGCTCTGGGCCCAAGGTGATGCAGACTATCACGAAGAGATGGCATGGTGGAGGGAATCTGCTCCCCTCGTGGCATCCAGGAAGCAGAGAGACTGGAAAGGTGGTAAGGAGCTACAGGGAAGATCCCCCCCTTCCAGTGCATGTCTCCAGTGACCTGCCTCCCCCAACCACAACACACCTGCCTACAGTTACCACCCAGTCAGTCCATTCAAACTGGGGTACACTGATCAAGTTACACCCCTCACAATGCAATCATTTCACCCCTGAGTATCTCTGCATTAGCACAGCAGATTTGGGGCATGAATCATGTTCAAGTCATAGAACACCTACATCAGAGCTGGTCAAAGATTGGTTATGAAATAAACTGTTCAAATTTTGAAAATGACTCTGTGGCTTGAAAAATTCTCATGTGCTGTCAATCTGAAAGCAGGTGTAAATATTGCAATGGGCCCATACCAGTATTTGAATCATCAAGGTCTTCTACAAGGACATGAAGGTACAAATATATGTGGGGAAGAAGATACTTATATATTTTATATGAATTGCTTAGTAGTAAGAAATTAGACATTCTGCATTCTTACATTGACGCCAAGGACAAACTGACGATGAAAACTATTTAAAAGAAATGCTTACTCTTTTAAAAGAGGGTGGAGTGGTTACAATTTCCCCCTGCAGTATAACCTCCTGCTTTCCATAAAATTAAGACCATTATTCCTCCGTGATACATGATCACATGAAAAAAGTTTGTTGAACTTTTCCTTAAAAAGGAGGTGAGAACAGAGCATGTCTAATAAACTAACTTGGCATAACAGTGAACAGTTTTGGGATAGATCAGGAAATTTGACCACTGTTTTGTCAAATATCTGCAAACAGAAGAATTCTTCAGTCCTCAGCCATATTTTCTGCTCCATGTCCTATAGCTGGATGCAGTCACTCAGTGACCCTTCTCAGGGCTGAGGTGGGTGCTAGTGATTGCTGTCTGGAATGTCAGCACAGGAGCAAACCAGTTTGCATGCACAGTAATGTGCAGATGGTGAAGTCCTGACTGGAACACCAGAGTGCCAAGGCTTAGGACAGGCATAGACTGGAATTCCACTTGTGGTGATGCAGCCTAATGGAAGGAGGGAGCCCCTGATAATGGAAGGCACCAAAGAACAGCACAGAGGAAGAGCAGTGCCTTGTGAGACTCAGCAGGGCTTTTCTTAAACTGCAGGTCAATATCTTCATCCTCTATGCTGGAGACTTGAGTTTTCTACTTCACTCCTAGAGATGTGAGCATCCAACTTGCCAGGAGAAGTCATCATAGCATGAAGTTCCCCTTATTATCCACACATTCATACCAATCAAAAAAAAAAAACAGGATGTAAGGAGAGGGGACAGGAAGGAATGCTTACTCTAGGCAAAGAGAAAGAATTAATGGCTGGTGAATTTGTGCTTGTTTCAGGCAGGAGTTCAGGCTTCTGGCCAAAGGCACCTTGATACAACCCCCATATGCACCATGAAAGTCCTCAGGAATGCGTGAACCTCACCAGGTCAAGCTGCCAGATGATCCAGGCCACCCAGCAAGAATCAACAGGCCAGTTCAAATATATGAGTGCATGTGTGAAAATCACCATTCCCATGTGTATAATTAGGCTTCAAATTTTATGGATTCAAATGAATAAATAAATAAGTGTTGTGCAAAAACTTAAAATTTTTATGTTCATCGTAAGAATAGGAGGTTTACTATTCTGTTTCCAGGCAAAAGAAAGTCTGGATGCACTGGAGTCTTGACTCATGAGCAAGAAGGGGCTGACAGCTGGGAAACACCCAGAGACTATTGCAGCTGTGTTCACCAGGAGCCAGTTGGGATTATTAATAACAGTCACACAACTTTGAAAGACACAGGAAAGTGTGTAAAAGGAGACAAAGGTGCTCACCAGGAGAAGGATGGTTTGGGTGGCTCTGGACTCAGGGGAGGACCTGAGGGAGCTGGTCTTGTGAATGTGCTGCATTCTCTGCTTGTGCCTGTGCAGGATGAGCACCATGGAGCTGCTGGCCCAGAACATGAGCCCCACACACAGGGCATCAGGGAAGGTTAGCAATGCTACAAACAGTGAACCTGTGGTTAAGTCAGGATGAACAGCAGAACAGTATCCAAAATCTTTTAGGTCTGTCATTGTTGTGTTGTTCCATTTCCCAGTCATATACATAAGATTAAAAATATTAATAAGCAGGTACATGATCCAACTCAGGTACATGGAAAAGCCAACGTACTTGGGAATTTTCACTTTAAGTCCTGCCCACCTGGATTCATTGGGGTTTATGGTGATGGCCTGGAAGACACTCAGAAGGCACATGGTTACAATGGACATGGCCCTGCCCACCCTATGAAGACAGAACAATAGTTTGCATCCAAAATCACCAAGGGAGATTTCTAAATTGAAAGCTGCCACTGTCTGGGGAACACCTCTACACAGGAGGGTTAACAAGTTGGCGACAACCAAGTGCTGAAGAATCAAGTCTGTGTGTCTTACCCTGCACCCAGTGAAGTAAAGAACTAGGTAATGGAGGAGAAGAGAGGAATTGCCCAGAGCTCCAACCACAGTCTGTGCCAGGAAGATGATGCCTACAGCCACATCACTGGCTGCCATCCTGCCAGGTCCCTGCTGTCCCTTGAAGAGGGTCCTGCAGGGGAACAGAAAGCCTGGGCTGCATGTGTCCTGTCAACCAAAACCTAGCATTGCCCACTCCCCAGAGTCCCACTATGAATATTGAATGTTTTTTTTTCTTTACTGTGAATATTGAATTTTTTTTTCTTTAAAAGTTTTATGCATAAACTTTTAAAAGCATAAAACTTTGCCATGAAAACATCACTTTGCTACCACTTGCATCTTCACAACTTGAGGCAGGTGCAGAGGCGACTTTGCATAATGACCAGAAGAACTTGGTCATGCAGAAGGTAAACGTCTAAATTCATGCTCTGATTAGGGGAGTAGAGGGGACTTGAGACTAGCTGAGTATAAAAGTTAGTATGGTTAACTACCAAGCGTCCTGAACATGGGAGTTCAGTTTTTTGTGTTTAGTTCTGTTTTTCGAAATTCCTATCATCTTCTAAACTGATGGTATTTTAAGCTTTTATTCTAATGAGTTTCCATTTCCTTAGAGAATTATTCTCCAAGCCAATCTCAATTATGAGAGACTATCTAGATATTTTATTGATGAAGAAGCTCTGAGGGAGCTATAATCCAGCAGGCACCTGTCCCATGGTGAGTTATGTGCAGGGAGCCAGTCCTGGTCCATTTCAGAACAGCTACCACAGGGCACACTTGGCTGTTAGGAATGCAAGTGAAACAGCACCTGTCACAGGAATTGTTTCTCCATGCCACGTCCTATGCTTTGTGACATAAAGCATCAACACTGTATGGTAGTAGCGGCATAATTGCTGCTTTTGGGGGACACACGCTAAATGTGTTAATACCTGAGTTCAGTAAAACTGTTAGCAAGACATCAATGTGGGTAACTGATATTACAACAGGAGCCACGTATCCACACTGGCATATGAACAGCATGAAGTCTTGAGATGGCAGATTTGTGACTATCATGAAAATCTATACATTCAGCAGACCTTCTTTAGAGCAGTTTTAGGCTGATAAAAAAAATTGAGCAGAAGGTAAATAAGTTTACCATAATTTCTACACACTCAAACCCTACTCCACAATAAAATTCCTAAGCCAGGTGGTGTATTTAATACAATAGAAACCAGATATATGTATAAAAGGTGGTGTTGGAAACCCATAATTATTATATTACATTTTTATATTTATTTTTTAGTTTAGGTGGACAAAATATCTTCATTTTATGTGGTGTTGAGGATAGAATCCAGTGCCCCATGCATGCTAGGCATGCACTCTACCTCTGAGCCACAACCCCAAAACTATTAGTACATTTTCTTTATAAACGTTTTATCATTTTAAGGGGGAAATAACCTCAAACATTCCTGGACAACAGGTGGTTTCAGGATTGGCCCAATGATTGTGTCCATGAGCTGCACTATGCCCAGAGTTAGAGGAAAGGTTCCACTCAAGCATCACCCTATAGGACACAATACTAGAAGAGTCCTGTAAGTTCTTCCTACTCTATACAAGAATCTTGCAGATATTGTAGGTTCTATTCTAGAAATCCAGAAAACTCAGCACACAATTCCTGTAAGGGACACTGAGCTGCTGACAGATTTGCAGTCAACACCCTCCTACACCTTGAAGATTGGTGTAGTGTAGTTCAGCACCCACTGTCAGCAAGGATCACTTTCCATTCAACTGGGAGCCATCAGGGATGGCTGCAGGATCCAGGACCCCATCGCTCTTCAGTGCCTGAGCCCACTCCTGAGAAATTTTTCCTGCTTCCTGTGTGGCTCTGGTATTCAACCAGATTCAATATAGAATCCCCTTTTCTGATGAGATCACCTACCCAGACTCTTGAAATGAGACCTTGAAATGGGTCTTCCCTCACAGATGATGCTCTCAGGTTGTCATTTCATTACTCACCAGGCTATTTCTCTCTGCCAGGATGGTGATCTCAGTGCAGAGGCCTCTGTGACCAAGACATGTGCTTTCAGGGAGGTGGTCAGCTCCTGAGATATGTGTCTGTGACTCTGTGACCTCACCTCCCCTTTGGACCTGCAATTATCACTGTGCCTGTAGCATCAATGGGCATGCAGGCTGGGGGAGTTAAGGACACTGCTGAAAACTTTCTCCCCAGGTGACACTTACGAAAAACAATTATAAGTTTCTTGTTGGCATCTCTAATGGATCCTGGAGTGTTGGGAGGTGCTTCTGTTTATCAATAATCCATGGAGTCACACAGTCACATGCCAAGGAAGAGTAAATACCGTGGTCTGACATGTGAGGGACTGGCAGCCCCACTGCATTGTTTTCCAAACCTAGTTGCTTCCTATTCCATTTACCTAAGTGGAACCATCATTTTGCCTATTGGTAAAGAAATGGAATGAAACAAAACACCTGAGAAGGATTTAAACACACACACACACACACACACACACACACACACACATGAAAGAAGAAGAATGTGAAGAATGTGACCTTCAGAATGAACTCTGAAGGTCATTCCATTCCTCTGAACACAAGTACAAGCCCATTCATGGTCACTCATTTGCAAGACTCAATGCCAATTGACATCAAAATTATTAGGGAAATATACTTTACTGATATTGATCCCGTTAATGACAGAAGAGATTTCTATAAGAAATACAGAAAGCTGGTACCTCACAAATGACAGTAGCAGCTTTGGATGATTTGAGAGGCCAGATCTACCACTGCTGCAACTACTAGATTCACCTGTGCTATGGACACTATTTGCAGGGCATCAGATAGTGACCACAAAAAGGGAGGCCTTGGGGTTGGGGCTGGGGCTCAGTGGTAGAGTGTTTGCCCAGCATGTGTGAGGCCCTGGGTTCAATCCTCAGCACTGCATAAAAATAAATAAATAAAGGTATTGTGTCCATCTATAACTAAAAATATTTTTTTTTAAAAAAGGAAGGCCTTTCCAATACGTTCAATTCCCCCAACACTGAAAAAATACTATTTACAATGAAGAGTTTTAAAAATTGCTGTGAGCTTTCCCATTCAGGTCAAGACCTGTCATAGGACAGGGGAGTGTTCAGGGCAGTGACCCTTCATAGCTGTGAGGAGAAGGCAAGAGAAAGATGGCATAGGGCAAGGGCATGGGGAGAAGACAGTGCAGCAGTTGGTGGGGAGCTGGGAAAGGACAGGGGAAGAGAAGGTGGAGTGGAAGGGAAAGGGGGTGAAATTCAGAAGTCAGCGCATAGCTGGGCTGGAGCACACCGGAAACAAGTGTTAATGGATATTAAGGACACAGGGCCTTTGGTTCTAGAGACACGGGGTGATGTTTTCATAGGATGAAGGGGCTCCTGGGGGTGTGGCCTGAGAGAAAGTGATGATGGTCAGCAGTTGGTAAAACTCACAGAAAATTCAACACCTGAGTTGTTAATACACAGGGTTGGGGGAAGATGTAGATGTGAGTGGGGTTTGTTGTCCTGGATTTAAGTAGAGGCCATAACAGAGTGGCTGAAAAGGAGGCGGAGTCTGGGGAGAGAAAGTGGGTCTTGGAGAGAGACAAATTAGACATAGGGAAACAATTGAGCCAGGAGGGCAGTACCTTGAGAGAACTAAGGAGGCCGAGAGAACCAAGAACAGCAAGAGAAGCATCAGAAAGACCAAGTTCAAAGGCAGACTCTTCTAGAGTTCCAGGCTAAGTGTGAGGAGACGTTGCTCCACCCATGTGGTATAGCTGGAGGACAAGCAAAGACACCAGTGAAACCAAAGGTTGTGTCCTGACTTACCCCGCACACATGTTAAACACAGAGATCTGCCCTCAGGAGAAAAATGGAGGAGGATGGGGTTGGCAGACGTGGGTTTTGGATTTGAATTGCGAATTAAGATTTCTAGACTGGGCTAAAGATTCTAAACTTCGTCCTCATTTTCTGCTCCAGTAACCAAACTTCACTGCTCTCAAAGTCTCAGTGTTCAAAGTTGGTGCTTGGAGCATTTACCATTCCACCCACCTCTCCTGTCAGCCATTCCTTCAGTGACACCTTTCTGAGCTGTGGAGGGGTCAAGGGACACTGCCAGGCTCTGCCCTGCCATTTTCCTTCTTCTCTTCTATTTCTATTTTATACCAGTAATGACTCCCAGGATATTGCTACCCCACCAGTAGACTTTAATGCATTGGGGTTTTTATAACTTCTATCTTGACTTGACACAGTTTGGAGGCCCTGGATAGAGGAAGGTCAGTTTCCCTTAGTGGTCAGCTGATTATGTCCTAATTCAAATGACCCCTGTAGCTGGGCTGTCACACATGTGGCTACCAGGCACCTGACCAAATTCCCTGAGCACTGTGAGCTTTCCCATTCAGGTCAAGACCTGTCATAGGACAGTGGAGTGTTCAGGGCAGTGACCCTTCATAGCTGAGAGGAGAAGGCAAAGAAAGATGGCATAGGGCAAGGGCATGGGGAGAAGACAGTGCAGCAGTTGGTGGGGAGCTGATTAAGCCTTACACCAAATATAAAAGGTCTCATTAGACTAAAATTTTCCCCATTTTTATCATTTACTTAATAGGTTTTTTTTCCCTGTAATTTTGCTGGAACATACTGCCTATTTTATTCATAGTACATTCCGTAAAACTTATTCCCAATGGATGCTTCAATCTCTTTTGCACACACCCTGTGTGTAAGTATGGCAATTGGTGGGAGGAAGCTTTTCATTTAACTTGATTTAATTTGTCATTTCAATCAGATTTTTAAGGTGTTTTTCCTCTTTGATACACAAATTGTTGCCTAGTAGTACAGAAATAGTCTTTTATTGTTGTGAAACTTCCACTTATTTTTTTAAATTACACCAAAAATCCACTCAGAACTGAATTGTTGTATGGTGTGGGTGGTGACTGATGTTCCCTCTTCTTCAACATGACCAGGACATATCAGTTTGTTCTAAGAATATTGCTTTATGCATTCTGACAACTGCTCTCACTTTTCATTGCTTCTCCCAGGGTATCACCACCTGATCTTTAATGATGACTTCTCTAAGAAAATAGTGTGGGAATTCTGCCCATCCAC